AGTTTTTTCTTGGAAACAATCCATAATGTCTTGTAGATTTAATAACTTCATATATTTTATAAATTACAATCTATTTATAATTTTAATATATTTTAATATTTTATAATTCAATAAGCTACAATTGTAAAAGTAATGTTTCTCTTACACAAATAAGGATCTAGCAAGGTATCTAAGCGACCATATCCTTGAGGAGAATTTGCTGTCCCCTGTCCTCCCTGGAAACCAGAGCCTCACTGACACCTTCTCTTTGTAAACAGCAACAACAAAGCCCCGAGTTAAGGATCTGAGCTTTTCACTGGCCTCTGCTCCAAAAATCCATTATTTTCTGAACAGCAGATAAGCAGGAGCTCTGGCTGCTTTCCCGAGCTGACTTCACCCAACAAATTAATTGCTTGTACCACGTCCATTACAGTTGTCCAAGCTGACCTCTGCCTGCGTGGCAGCCTCTGCCACATCCCCAATATCTGAAAGATTGTTTCATTCCTCCTTCCTGTTGCTCCATCACTCTTTGGGCTGCTTCCACTGGTTGGCTGGAACAGGATTTTGTGTCTGCTCTGCCAGCTGCCCAGATGAAGGCAATGTTTAATTATTCAGCAGCTCTGACAGTAGATCCTCCTGTGATGGAGATCACACCACATCCTGAAGGGTGCCAGCGATGAGCCCCTTCCTTTCTGGCACGGTCTTTGCTTATCCAGTAGAAATTTGGCTGAGTGTTATTTGACAGGCAAGTTAGGAAATGGTTTTGAATATTCTCTTGGATGTGTTTAACCAGTGTTTACTTCTAAACAAATTCTCTTGCTAAAAAGATCAGGCTTGGGTTGGGTTTGTTTGTTGGGTTTGGTTTATTTTTCTGGGGAATTTTTGGTTTGCTCTGTGTTTTTTGGGTTTTTGTTTTTGGTGAAGCAAACCTCCCCAGGGGGAGAGGGAGTGTCCCCAGTCCTGCACAGCCTCAGGCAGCAGGAGGGTGCTGTGGGTGGCTCTGGGTGCCTCCATGGGGCAGTTCCAGGGCATCAAACCCCAGTGCTGAGCCCCTGGAGTGTCATCCTCGGGGTGAGAGAAGCAGAACTGCTCCACTCTCACCCCAGGGGCCCCAGCCTGTGCAGAGGTGAGGCCAGAGCTCCCAAGGCTGAAGTACAGAATGAGTTCAGAGTCTGGGAGCCCAGAGCTGGGCTGGGCACACGAGTGACTCACGGTGCAGTGGGACACAAACTCACTCTGCAATGATTTCCCCCATTTCCATGTGCTCCTCTCAGTGTCTCATCAAAGACATAAAGTGCTGCTTTCTGCAGCAGCATCCCCTCCTGAGCCCAGCAGCATTACCTGCAGCTTTCCTGGGATTGGATTTACCAGGAAACACTCATGGCTCTGAGAGGGGGAATGGCCATGACTCAGTTCTCCCCAGGAACTGCTGGTTGCATGCTGAGTGTGGCTCTGAGTGAGGCTCTGAGTGTGGCTCTGAGTGAGGCTCTGAGTGAAGCTCTGGGTGCAGAATTGTCTGGGTGCAGAATGCTCTGAGTGCTGAATGCTGAGTGAGGCTCTGAGTGTGGCTCTGAGTGCTCTGAGTGTGGCTCTGAGTGAAGCTCTGGGTGCAGAATGCTCTGAGTGATGCTCTGAGTGCTGCTGAATGCTCTGGGTGCAGAATTCTCTGGGTGCAGAATGCTCTGAGTGCTGAATGCTGAGTGAGGCTCTGAGTGCTGAATTCTCTGAGTACTGAATTCTCTGAGTGTGGCTCTGGGTGCTGAGTTCTCCGGGTGCTGAATTCTCTGACTGTGGCTCTGGGTGCTGAATGCTGACTGTGGCTCCGGGTGCTGAGTTCTCCGGGTGCTGAATTCTCTGACTGTGGCTCCGGGTGCTGAATGCTGACTGTGGCTCCGGGTGCTGAGTTCTCCGGGTGCTGAATGCTGACTGTGGCTCTGGGTGCTGAATTCTCCGGGTGCTGAATTCTCTGACTGTGGCTCCGGGTGCTGAATGCTGAGTGTGGCTCTGGGTGCTGAATGCTGACTGTGGCTCTGGGTGCTGAATGCTCCGGGTGCTGAATGCTCCGAGTGGCTCCCGGGCGGGCTGGCAGCGAGGGCAGGGATCCTTTAGGTGCAGGGGGACAGGGGCTGTTGCTCAGCACAGGGGTGACACGCTCACTGCTGGGTTTAGCCACGCTCAGCAGGGCAATCACAGGGTGCCTGTGCTTGGAAAAGGCCTCTCGGATCATCGGGGCTGATTTTTCTCCCAGGGAAAACACAGCAGTGAGAGATGAGCAGGCTGCTATTATATTTAGTTTCCTGTCTGACAGGGCCAGATTGGGTGTAGGTAGCTCAGAGCACAGAGGGGATGGGGCTCAGGTACAATGAGAAGGAGAAGCTCTGCCAGTTTGAAGAGTTCAACTTAAAAGGCAGGAAACTGAAAACTGATCATCAGGATTTTTCAGGAGATGTCCAGTGGTGCTGGTTAGCACAGCATCAAGTACTCAGCAACAGTGGCAGAGGGACTGGGCACTTCCATGGATACCAGGAGTATCCAGAGTAATGATTACTGTATCCATTTTTGTAATGTAATTACAATAACCTTTCATGCTTCGGGGGTTAAACCAATAAAATCAGCAAGAAAATAAAGATATCTGCATGCTGTAAAACTCTGTCCTTTTCTTCTGGTACATCTGCTGCTAATCCAAGATGAGCTACAGGGCTGGGCAGGACCCTGGGTCTGCCTTGACCAGCTGTGGCAGGCCCTGTGCTCCTTAGGGAACCTGGTGTGGAATCTGGACACTCATTCTTTAGGTAAACCAGGGTGTGAGGAAGAGGAGGACGAAGTGGAGAGCAGATGGGTTTTTTCTGTGACTTTGAGAGGACAGAAGTTTATGTGATTATATATGAACAACTGACGATTTGCCCAAAAGGGAAAAGAACAGTGCAAACCTGGAAGCTTTCAAAATCAGGAGGTGACTTCCAGCAAAACAAAATTCTAGGGATTTCCTAGAAGTGATTTAACTCCACATCCTTCCTGAACTGGAGCACTTGAGGCAAACTTGAGGCTCCAATCACAAGAGTCAGAATCTTTAATAATAACAATAATAATAAACAGAAGTAAGATTTTGGCTGAGGAGCTTTAAGCGGGCAGGAGGAAAATAAGCACTAAAGAGCTCTGGAGATGGAAAAGGGGATGGAGCTGGTGGTAACAAGGGAGAACTGGGAAGGAAATCCCAGGAAATCCCACAGTGCAGCAGGTGAATGATGTGAGGAGTTGGGATGTGTGGGCAAGGGATGGGGATGGGGGCTGGTTCAGCTCCGCCCCGCTGGCAGAGACTGGCAGAGGGGTGGGAGTCTGACAGCACTACAGTGAATCTCTGAGGAACTGGGTGGTCCTTCAGGTCCCTTCCAGCCCATTCTGTGGCTGGCAGTGTAAAGGGAATCACTTTATTTAAGATGTGTGGGTGATTTGAGGAAGGTCCTGGCACAGGTGCCCAGAACAGCTGGGGCTGCCCCTGGATCCCTGGCAGTGCCCAAAGCCAGGTTGGACACTGGGGCTGGAGCACCTGGGACAGTGGGAGGTGTCCTTGCTGTGGCAGGGGTGGAACGAGACAATCTTTAAGGTCCCTCCCAATGCAAACCACTCTGTGATCCTGTGACTGGGCAGGTTCCTACACAGGGGTTCTGCTGGTCCAGAGTGTGTTAGAAGCCAGGTGATGAACAGCAGCTACACCTGGTCTGGTGTTTGTGAAGGAGGAATTAAAGGTTACCTCCAAAAAACTGTGCTTGGTCTGGTGGGAACATCTGAGAGCTGCGTTCTGCATTAGCTGGAATTGGAAAATGCCAGGGTGTGGATTCGCTGGTCAGGAGGGAATGGCAACAGGTGGTGTCCCTTTGGGTGTCAGAGTTTTGGAGTAAAAGGAACAAAACCAGGATGTTCCAGCATCCTCGAGATCTGGGTGTGCAGAAGAAAAATGGGTCTGGAGATCTTAAAATAGAACGAGCTCAGCTGCATTACTTCGGGTTTGGGAGTACGGGGTTACATCCAAACTCCTCCTCCTCCTCCTCACCGCTCCTTGGGTACGTACCCACCTCGGCGGGCGGAGGATCTCGTTCCCGTGGCACAGTCGGGATCGATGCTTTGGATGCCCTGGGCTGGCCGGGTGCCCCCGCTGTCCCCGGCTGTCCCCGGGCACCGCCGGGCCCCCGAGCGGGAGAGCCCGCGGCGCTCCCGAGCCGCCGGGAGAGCAGGCGGAGGAGGAGGAGGAGGAGGAGGAGGGGGAGGAGGAGGAGGAGGAGGAGGAGGAGGAGGAGGATGGTGCTGCTGCTCCGGCGGGGCTGAGCGAGCATCCCCCACGCAGCGCCTTTGGCGGGCGCTCCCGAGCCGCGCTGCCCGGCCCCGGCTGCGGGGAGCGGGGAGAGGGAGAGGGGAGAGAGGAGAGAGGAGAAGGGAAAGGGGAGAGGGGAGAGGGTAGAGGGGAGAGGAGAGAG